AGGTAATGGTGACTAAAACGAAATCGAACAGCATGATGGGCGGAGCAACTCCACTGTGTCCAAGGGCAGCTCAGCAGACGCAGCAGCCACCTGTGGAAGGCAGCAGCCTTCCACAGGTCCCCCCTCCACCCTCCACCCTCCACGCCCGGGATAAAATTTAGCAACAAGAAGGAAGCAGTTCACGTGGTGTCAGTGGACTGAGACTAAACCAAGACCGGGACCCTACAGCCCTATCCCCATCAGCCTGATAATCCCCAGCGTCGCCTACCTCCCTCTGGGTTCCTGGGCCAGCAAGATGCTGGAACAAGATGCGGAGTCCACCGCTGGGACACCGATCCTAGTCCCACTGGCAAGGAACCAGTAACCAAGGGAGCAGCGCCCCACCAGGGCTCACCGCAGAAGCCCAGCCAGTTGGTTCCAGGGCCTGCCACTTCTGCGGGGGCGCCTTCCCTGGACCACCAGCAGCCCCGGCCCAGCGCCCACACTGCTGCTGTTCCTGTGACAAGGCTTTCTCTTACAGGCCCAAGCTGGCTATGTACCCGGCTGGCACATGGCAGCCTCCCCCCCAATCCATGCCCCAATCACCCCAAGGCCTTCTGCTATCCCTCCAAGCTTGCAGCCCATGGCCACACACACTGTGCCACCAATGCCCACCCCTCTCCTTGCCCACACTGCCACAAGGCTTTTTCATTCCCCTCCAAACTGGCTGCACAAAGCCTGTGTCACAATCCCCCACGGTGCCAGGCAACCAGGCCACAGCCCACCATCGCTGCTCCAAGCTGAACCTAGGCCTTTGGCCAAAGACCCGTCCTGCTCCTTCATCAACGCAGCTAGCATCAGGCTGACAGCCCAGGGCAGCATGAGTGAGCCCTCCCCTTAGCATGGTCCCCTCTGCTACCAGCCTGGGTCAGTAAAGAGGTGGCATTTCTAAGCTGGGCTGGCAAGGAGATTGGCTCCATGCTGGGCTCGAACTTACAAGGCTGAGGAACTCTTTCCTCACCTGTTTTGGGAAGGGGAAGAGATCATCCACAGAGAGTTAGCACTGGGCTCCAAACCATGGACTTGGAACTGTGGTTCCAAAGCAAGTCCTGGCTCTGGTTTTCCTCTCCTATTCATATGGTAAAAGTAAAAGGTCTGCTGCCACTGTGGTTTGGTAAGGAGTGTGGGGAAACAGGGTCTCTCCTTACTGTTTTAAGTTAAATTCGTCCATTTTGGGAAGGACGGAAGGAAGGAAGGGAGGAAGACAATAAGATTTTACTAGCTTAATTCTACAAAGGGAAGGTCACACAAAAGATCATGAATCAGAATGGCTTTGGCCTTCTCAAGAGCAGCACTGGAAACTAGAAGACAATGGAGTAATGCCACCAAAATTATGATGGCAAATAACTTCAAGTGTAAAATTCTATACCCAACCAAACTAACAACCAAACGTGAGGGTAGAATAAAGACATTTTTCAGACATATAATGTCTCAAAAAGATTATGTCTCACATGCCATTTCTTAGAAGAAGCACTCTATCAAAACACAAGGAAAAGCTAGGACAAAGGAAACAGGAGAAACATCACAGAAGTGAGGCAAATCAAATCCCCAGGATGATGGTGATGGGAAATACCAGGGACAGCTATGCATGAGCAGAGAGAGCAATTCATCCATACTAAAGAAGTATGACTCAAGAGATAGCATATTGAAGGACTATCATCACCAAGATGGCTTTTGCTATTGTATTGGCCTTTTAACCTGACAATGCTAAGGTAAGTCTTCCCCAAATTCATTTTTGTACAAGATTTGCTTGGCAAGTATCCGCTTTCCCTTCTATGCCCTACTTCCCGGATCAGCCCAAAGACCCTCATTTTAACCCAAAGAAAAACTCTGCTTTGACATATTTCTCAGAGCTGGAGGTTGGTCACACTGAATTTAAAAGCAGAAAATATAGAACAGTTCATCACCTCTAACCATGTTCCTCTTGGATATCCTGTAAGAACCTGGAGCCTACTATAGACCTGACAAATGCCCTGAATATGATAAGCCCTATGTTTCCCAGGATTCACTTGCCCACTGATTTCCCCAAAAGGGGCTCTTATAAACTATCAGGGAAGTTGAAACTAGATTATGATTCTGAAACAACAGCTTTTCTCTTCTAGAAATATTTTATCTAAGAGGGATAATAATGCCATTTTTTACACAGCCGGGTTTATACTTTGCTATTCAGCTTTTATATTAGCCACTTTTCATATCACTTTACATATAAATATTTAAATGAATATAAATAAAGCAATTTAATACATGATTTTGAAAAGTATTATAGAGGAAATAAAACCTACCGACAGGACAAGTATGGATGGCACCACCAATGGTGAAAAGTTATCAATGCAAATGAAAGTTTTTGTAGCAATGTGGGCCCTAGAAGCTCAACTGCAAGTGGAAAACAATTTCCTCTGCTGAATGTCTAGATGAATGAGCTAGCTTCTCAAAATTTAACTATGTGTGGTTCACAGATATTATTTCCAGTTATATTAAGTAAGTATTCAGTGACTTTACTGACATGCCAAATTCAAGCATTCTCAGTTATTCTCAAATCAACCTTGGACTTTTCTTTTCCTTTTTTTTTTTTTTGCACCCATAGCGTAAAAACATTGAACTTTATCTCACTGAGCTTGTACAACATAAAATACTTTTCAGAGTATTTTCCTTGATTCATTGAATAATTTTCTAGCTCACAGCTGCTCAATGTTTTTCACTGTAGTTTTGGAGGTATTGTTTTGTTTTTTAATTACCTTCAGTCTTCCCTTATTAATGGAACTTAGAGGCTTCAGGACAAGTTGGTTTGAGCCTTTAAGGACAAAGATTAAGTCCTTAAAGAACAATATTAACCTAGTGCTGGTAGACATAGTTCTTCTGCTTGAACCAACAGTCACTCACATAGAAGGACAAACTACTATTGCAAACTACTATGTAACTACTAGTATATTCTACAAATAGATTTTATTTAGGCAAAGGGCAATTCCATGTCTTCAAGTTTGCATTATCTAACCCAAATAATCCAATCTATAGAGTCTGCAGTTGTTAAAGGCTGCTGCGCCTAACTTTTCTTAATAAATATAAATTACCTTGGAGAAAGAACCAACAAAACTGACTTTAAATACATTGTATACAAAACTCTCTCCATGACCTGGCCCCCGTGTAGCTCTCCAGATTCATCTCTTATTCTGTTCCTCACTTCCTATGTTTAGCCAGGCTCCTAGTTCCTCCAATGCCACTCTCTCAATTCTAGGCCTTTATACAAGCCATTCTCTCTCCACTTCACTTGCCCATTTAATCCGTCAGTTCTCAGCTCAGGCATCACTTCCCCAGAGAAGACTTCCCTGGCCATACCCTGTCATGACATCTTAGATTTCCTTTCATATAACACTCGCCACACTAAACTATAAGTTCCAGAGGGCAGGGACCATGTCTATCTTATCCACAGCCCTATCCATATCATCTAGGATAGCACCTGCAAAGATTTGTTAAACTGGACTAAAGTTTTTATCACTAGATTTTAAGCTAAATACTTGTAATTTTCAGTAAATTGGCCTAGGAAATAATTCAAGTTTTCTGAAGTAAATACCTGACTTTTAACCTTTCCTTCCTCCTCCATGTTCTCACACTTTCTTTTGCTTCTTTCAAAAGTCACCTACTGACTTCCTTTTGGGCTAGAAGAAAATGTCAGATTCATTTAGGGCTGTTTCAATAATATTGGGACCTTATTCTCTTTTATAACATTACTCTCAAATTATAACTATATATGGGGCGCCTGGGTGGCTCAGTTGGTTAAGCGACTGCCTTCGGCTCAGGTCATGATCCTGGAGTCCCTGGATCGAGTCCCGCATCGGGCTCCCTGCTCG